TCCTCGAGTTAATCATTCAAAAGTTGTTTACAGAATTAATTATTAAATATGCACCTTCTTTTATTAAATTTTATTAATTATTAATTATTAAATATGCATCTTTTCCTATTTTATAAATGATATAATTTGCCTATCGGTTGCTATTTGCCTATTGGTTTGCTTTGCACGCCTTTGGAAGATGTTCATAGAGTAATCACAATCCCTCAAGATCCCTCTAGTAAATGATAATATCCCCACTATGCTGAAAAATAGTAGCAGATGAATCTTGAACTGGCCGTGATTGGACTCCAAGAATAAACTAATTTTTTAAAAATAAAAGTACTAATTTTTTTCTAGCAATTAATCCTCACTGTGTAATAAAAACATTTGAAGGGAAGTAAAAGACTTTATGCAAAGCTTTGCTCAGGTGATATATACATGATTTATGCAATGATTATAGTTGCACCTTAACCTGGAATATCGTAAAAGCTTCTAGCGTATATCTTAAATCAATATACCGTGGTGACGGTCATCAACGACGTCGGAAAAAGCTCTTATTAATATTTCAATAAGAATCAGAATATACGGTTTTGTGATATAGTTAAACGAAAGGTTATGTATGTCGCTCGTGAGCCTACTTTACTCAATATGATATTTCTTTATATGTTATCTAACAATGTTGAAAATATTAAGATTGATATTAATTTAAAATTTACACTAATTATCTGTTAGAAATTATTTTATTTAATTACTCGAAATAAAAACCTGTTTGAGAGGTAGCTTATTGTACGAAAGAGTTTTAAAAACATTCTTCAAAGATATATTTTAACTGTGCTTCAATTTTATTTTTTATATTGAAGAAATTTCATAATATTATTTTAAGATTTGTCTTGAAAAAAGCAGTTTTCTTTACATAAAAAGATACAAATGTATATTTATATATATATACATAATATTTATATATTAGTATATATATAATATTTATATAAATTAATTATATAGATTATAATTTATATTTAGATATACACGGTGGGCCATTTTAATCGATGCACTCGAATATCTCGAAAACAGCACTCTTCAGAAAGAAATGTTTCAAACAAAAATTGTAGGGTGTGAAGGGGGACATAAGATGGTAGCATTGGTTTGACCTTGGAAAGTCATTTGAAGGTCACATAAAAGTCACCTTCAATTTCTTAAATTGAATCCACTATTTTTCATTACATATTCTTGTAGCTTATCTCGAGAGCTTTCCAAAACACTACAGACAAATGTTTTTTCATTAAGTACTTTTTGAGTTATAAGGCTTCAAAGTTTGCAGTACTTCGATATATAAAATGCAAAATATCTCGTAAAATATTTAGTTTTCGGTAGTCTTACCCTAATACTTTTATGCACAGGATAATGAGACAAAACTATTGGTGCAAAGAAAACGCATGATTGTTTATAACAAAAAGTGCATTGCAAATTACACATTTTTTATCATAAACAATCATACGTTTTCTTTGCACCAATAGTTTTGTCTCATTATCCTGTGCATAAAAGTATTAGAGTAAGACTACCGAAAACTAAATATTTTACGAGATATTTTGCATTTTATATCGAAGTACTGCAAACTTTGAAGCCTTATAACTCAAAAAGTATTTAATGAAAAAACATTTGTCTGTAGTGTTTTGGAAAGCTCTCGAGATAAGCTACAAGAATATGTAATGAAAAATAGTGGGTTCAATTTAAGAAATTGAAGGTGACTTTTATGTGACCTTCAAATGACTTTTCAAGGTCAAACCAATGCTACCATCTTATGTCCCCCTTCACACCCTACAATTTTTGTTTGAAACATTTCTTTCTGAAGAGTGCTGTTTTCGAGATATTCGAGTGCATCGATTAAAATGGCCCACCGTGTATATGTATATATATTTATCTTATTTTATAAATATATATATATATATATATATATATATATATAATATATATATATATATATATATATATATATATATATGGCAGAAAAAAACATTATCCGTGGAAGAAATAATTCGAATACAAGAAATATATCGACAAACGTATATTTCAATCCAATCGGATCTTTTTCAATGTCTTAAACAGTTCGCACAAAAGTAATTAAAACGAGAATGTTACAAGGGTGCGCGCATTATATTATACAGGGTATCCCATCTAGAAGTGGCCACCCCCTTTTATCTTTTAAACTAAAAGAGATAGAATATAACAAATATACATATATGAAATTAAATGGCTTTAACTGAACTTTAATGTGAGTATAGTGATTGATTACAAAATTTATGTGTATTAAGGAACGGAGAGATATGTATAATTTTTTTATAATAATGTAGATATTTTGATATAATAAAAGTTGTAGCGCTGTTTGAAACGGTATATGACGGTATATAACGGTGTATGATTTAATGTAAATATTTTACATATTATACGAGATTTTCCGGCTTGAAATATCGCGAGCGACGTCCATCATTTCATTTTCGGTCCTCCGATAGTCAACTTCTGACTGAGTATTATGATTAAATGACAACATGACATATGTCAACTTCTAATGCACGAGTCAGAAGTTGGCTATATCGCAAGGCCGAAAATGAAATGGTGGACGTCGCCCGCGATATTTCAAGCCGGAAAATCTCGTATAATATGTAAAATATTTACATTAAATCATACATCATTATATTCGTTTCAAACAGCGCTACAACTTTTATTATATCAAAATATCTACATTATTATAAAAAAATTATACATATCTCTCCGTTCTTTAATACAGATAAATTTTGTAATCAACCACTGTACTCACAATAAAGTTTAGTTAAAGCCATTTAATTTCATCATTTATCTATTTGTTATGGTCTATCTCTTTTAGTTTAAAAGATAAAAAGGGGTGACCACTTCTAGATGGGACACCCTGTATATTATAAAATAACCGAAAGATCAAATAAACATGTTAAAACGGAAAGATTTAATAAAATGCAAAGACACTACAAGAGAGTAAAAGCGGTCGAAAAACAAAAAACGCCTGTACAAAAATAATAAAACAAAAAATATAGATGCAAGGAAATGACACGTTCGAGCAAAAAGCGCAACGCTCATCTCAAATTTATCAAAATTGTCCATATGACGCAAGAAATCAGGGAAATAAATGCTTTGCCTTAATCCAACGATGAGAAGTCCAAATTATAAAAAGCTGTCCATATTGATGACAGTCGTTGTAATAAAAATATAATAGTCTCAATAAGATAAAAACATGGAAAACCTCTCCAAATCCAAACTTCCCAGATGTGCCGGAAAAAAATGATTTAATTGATAACGAGATGGAAGCTTGTTAAAGAATGCGCAAAAAGGAGAAAGCAAAAACATCATGCCAAGCACATAGCACAAGGAAAAGATGTTCACAATTTTTTCAAAAAGTAAATAACAAGAACGCTTATACATTAGCACAAAATATAGTCGTTAATAATTAGAGATAAATCGAGAGATGAAATGAACGAAAGTACAAAATTAAACATACATAAAAATGTGAAAATAAGAGAAAAAGCAATGTGTAAAGAGGAAAGGAGTAGGATCACAAGAGAAGGTAGGAAGAAGAAGGTAGGGATGAAGCAGGAGATTGTGAAAAAATAAGATATTTGTTGATGATAGAAAGATAAAAGTCATCAAGTAAAACAGTGTCATTCTTATTAAGACTATTTTTTTGTTGGCAAATGTGCAACGTCTCGGATGCAAGTCTTTTTTATAAGATTCTTCATCTAAAATTGTTATGTCTTCTCAATTAATCATACTGGCCGAGTAAACTGTGTTGACACAACTGGTAAGGAATCTGACGGTTGATTAATATTCGATTGATGTTCTTTTAATCTGATGGCTAGTCTCTCAGTCTGTTCCACATATGACGCATCACAATCGTCACAATTTTATAAATAATCAATTTTATAAATAACATTAAAATGATTCAATTTAAGTAAAGGATCTTCGTGCAATTTAATCAAACTATTCAATTTATTGTTAGCTGAAAACGCTAATTTATTGCCATCTTGAATCTTCGTATAGAGTTTTCATTCATAAGTGCATTCTTCTAAAATGTATTCATTAGTTTTTATAGTTGATTTGTCTAAGTCTTGCATCATATTTAGGTTATAATGCTTTTATTCTAAAAAATGTGTTTGGAAATAAAAGTAACACAACACTCTGTGGACCAAAGCTGCCAGATCTCCGCCGCAAGCAACATGCAACACCTCGTGGAGGGGATAACGGGAATGTGAGGGTAACGTACGTGTGAGCTCAGAGAAGCGCCGAAAATTAATAAGAGAGTGAAACCACTAAAATGTTGATAAAAGAGAAAGTGGACATTAAGAATATGGTTATGGGAATAACGAAACTAAGAGCCGTATTCATAGTGCGAACTTATTTTTAAGACCGCCTTAAGTTCGATCTTAAGACGCTTTCTAGATTCATAATTTAAAAAAAGGCGGGATTTGAGCAAACTCTTAAGATGTATCTTGTTCAAGATGATCTTATTTGGAAACGTCTTAATATGATTCATAAAACCCATTAAGCATAGAATTAAGATTATCTTATTAATCATGAATTCATAGTCATTAAAGAACTTCTTATTTCACGCACACACTGACAAATAAGACGATCTTCGCTAAGACATGTGCGAGGACGTCTTATTGAAAGTTATCTGCGTACGCTTGTAACGTTTATAGATAAATAAAATTAATAATTCTATAATAGTGATTAGATCACTTGAAACTAGAAGAAAAGGAAAAAGTTTAATTCCGTAAATGAAAAATAGAGATAGTCTGGCCTGCATTTTCTTGTTCTTTCTGTTTTACATCGTTTTTTTTACATTCTAACCTAAAATATTTATCCACACAATAGTGTGAAATAACGACGACAAGCTAGACATATTCCAAACAAACAAATGCACACAATTTTTCGTAACATTTCATAATTTACTTTACAAAATTGCTTATACATATTATTATACATATTATTTTTAAACAATGGATTTAGAAGATCCAAGAAATTTGGAACTACATGATTTAAACTTGAATGACGACGAAGAAGTAGAAAATATAATGATGCGTGCTCCTAAGCGATATTTCCGTGATTACCAAAATCCTTTTGAATTTTACAATGACAAAGAATTTAAAAGAAGATTTCGGTTCTTCAAAAATTCAGTAATGTTTGGCATTTTACCATTAATAGAAGAAGGACTTGCCAGAATAAATAATCGAGGCTTGCCAATATCTCCTATTATACAATTATTAATATGTTTAAGATTTTATTCGACAGCTAGTTTTCAGGTATATAAATTACACACAAACATTTGTGTGTGTGTGTGTGTGTGTAATATAATACACATTAAATTATTAAATAAAATTTAATATTTTTAACAGCTTATTATAAGTGATATAATAACAATATCGCAACCAACAATTTCACGAATTGTATTAAGAGTGTCTATTTTATTGGCCAGCTATATTAATCGATATATAAAAATGCCATCATCAGAAGAATCATTTGCTGAGAATAAACGATTATTTAAAGAACTTGGACGTGGTAATGGAGGTATAGGCTTTCCTAGTATTGATGGTGCAATAGATTGCACACATATTCGTTTAACGCATACAAGGCTCCAAAATATTGATGAAATTTATAGAAACAGAAAAGGTTATTTTTCTTTGAATGTTCAGGTATGTATATATATATATATATATATATATATATACATATTTATTGTTTGAATAATTAAAGAAAATATTGCAAAAAAGCAATATATGTATATAAAACAAAAACTCATTCTTAACTCATTTTTTTCCCTTGTAGGCTATTGTCGGGCCACGCACTGAAATTTTAGATATTGTTCCAGAATGGCCAGGTAGTCAGCACGATAGTCGAATCTTTCAAAATTCTCGCATATTTATGCGATATAAGCAAGATCAATTAGATGGGATGCTTGTTGGAGATGCAGGATATCCTGCATTGCCTTTTTTACTTACACCAATTAATAATCCTACGACAGATGAAGAAATAAGGTTACATATGTATTTTATAACTATAATTTAAAAATGTCTATATAATAGTATTATGTTTTTTAATGATATATATATATATTTTTTTTTTAGTTATAATATCATTCATAGAACAAGAATAATTGTAGAAAGAACATTTGGTATATGGAAACGTAGATTTCCCTGTTTATCAAAAGGGCTTACTACAAAATTGTCAACGTCTACATCAATTGTTGTGGCATGCGCTGTTCTTCATAATCTATCATTGATTTTTAATGATAAGTTAGACGAAGATGATAATGAAGAATTGGAAGATATAAATAACGAAATCCCTCAAATTCCGCCTCACTGGCAGCCTGGAGAGGGCTTTCTCGTAAGAACTGCTCTTATCGAACGACTTTTCAGATAAAATTTTTATTATATACAGGGTGACCCATTTTAACTTAGGCAGCCAAATAACTCGAAAAATAAGCACACTACGAAAAAATGGTTAGAATCAAAATTTCGTCATTTCGAGGGGGACGTACAATGACGTTAAAATCAGCCCCCTCACCCCTCCCCCTGGGCGGTGAGGGGGGGCAAGTTTAAAATCTTAAATGGAACCCCCTATTTTTCATTGCATATTCTTGTAGCTTATCTCGAGAGCTTTCCAAAACACTATAATTAAGTACCTTTTTATTAAGTATTTTTTGAGTTATAAGGCTTAAAATAATTTCTTAATTTTACATAAACCATAAACTATCTAGTAAACCATTCATTTTTCGATTATCTTACCTTCATACTTTTATGTACAAAATAATGAGAGGAATCAACTGGTGTAAAGAAAACATACAGTTGTTTTTAAGAAAAAATATGGAATTGTTAATTGCAAATTACATATTTTTTCTTAGAAACAACTATGTGTTTTCTTTACACCAATTGATTCCTCTCATTATTTTGTACATAAAAGTATGAAGGTAAGATAATCGAAAAATGAATGGTTTACTAGATATTTTATGGTTTATGTAAAATTAAGAAATTATTTCAAGCCTTATAACTCAAAAAGTACTTAATAAAAAGGTACTTAATTATAGTGTTTTGGAAAGCTCTCGAGATAAGCTACAAGAATATGCAATGAAAAATAGGGGGTTCCATTTAAGATTTCAAACTTGCCCCCCCTCACCGCCCAGGGGGAGGGGTGGGGGGGCTGATTTTAACGTCATTGTACGTCCCCCTCGAAATGACGAAATTTTGATTGTAACCATTTTTTCGTAGTGTGCTTATTTTTCGAGTTATTTGGCTGCCTAAGTTAAAATGGATCACCCTATATATACTGAAAATATGTTTCTCGTTTGATATATACACATAATTTGCATAGGTATATATTAATCATATATATTATACGTTTTTTTGACATATTTTTGTGTTACAAATTATTTTTTTTGCACTTTAAAAATGAACATTGTAATATGTAATGTAACTTAAACATAACTTAAAGCAAAGTATTTTTAATATTTTTTATTATAAACATCTATGTATTATGCTAAACATTACTGAATTTTTTGGAAACCGGAAACGTTTAAATCCTATCTCATTGTAAAACTTAAAAAAGAATTTTGATAATCACAAAGATATCGCTTAGACGTGCGCCTTGTCATGTCTTCTACTTCTTTTTATATGTTTATTTATAAATCAAAATAATATCTCATTGTAAATACAACATAAGCATATCTTTTAATTAAACATCTTTTAATTAAACAGATCTCTTTAGTTACTTTTAATTTGTATGTCTTGTGACGTGGCCGTCCCGTCGCGTCTATCCGCCCCGGCAATTTTGACGGGGCGCGAGCCGAGTGGCCGCGCCAAAGGTCAAGAGAGAGAGAGAGCTACCGTACTCCCCGGAGAGACGAGCGAATTGGTATAGTTGCGTATAATATTAATTGTTTTTTTTTGTATTTTTTATTTTGTATCGAGTCCGGATCGAGGCCCCTCATCATCGAAGAACAGGAGAGAACCGCATCGCCTCTCCGCGACAGCTAAAAACGACGGCTAAAAACGACAGCCGAGGGAAATTCATAAGAGCCGAGGAGCCTGGCCCAGAGAGCCCGGCATCGTGAACCCGGGCAGGGGAGAGCAGCATCGCCTCTCCACGACCGCCGGAAGCGACAGCCGTTGCGACAGCCATCCTCCAGGAGAGGATAAGTCCGTGAAGGACCTCACCCGGGCCATACACGGGCCCGCGACAGCATTCAGATTTGGCGCTATTTCGCGCGGGGCGCGATAATGCCTCGCGTGGCGCGCGAGGCGCCAGGACCTCGCGCGTGTCGGCCGCTAATTGGCCGGGAGCCCGCGCATCCCCTTGCGCGGCCAACGACCCCGCCATCGACCCTGGATCGCGAGATCTAGGGCTCACTTTGTCGCGGCCGCTCGACTGAAACAGGCAAAAGTATTAGTCATATTGTGTGCTTGTGAATCTCGCTGACGAGACGAAACACCGGGGACGAGGCCGAGGATCATCCCCGCAGGCAGGAGGGGTTCCGTCGGTGAGGTTGCCCACGAATTATTGTACACCGTGTAATTAATTGTGTCCGCTCGCCGGCCGTTCTATTGCCGTCGCCATTGCGGCGTTTATCGCGACCGCTCGAGCCTTCTGCTGAGTCGGTCGATTTTGTGCATTTCGGGCGACAGGAGACAAGCGGCTGAGGAAGCGCGGACACTGGCGACGGAAGTGCGTATCGTAGGGTAATTCTCGTCTCTCTCCGGGTGTCAGGGTGCGCAAGACGTGTAGCATTCGACCGTTGGGTATCGACCGCGTGCGTCGTAAATCGCGAGCGATGCGTAGTTCGCACGGGCTGTCGTTTGGTTGTCGAAGCCGCGTCTCGCACCTCTGGAACATGTCTCAGAGCGAGTCTGTGGAACGTAATTGGTCGTGATTAATGAGTCTTCGTGTAGTATCATCGTCGTTCGTGAATATTGTGTGAAACTGCGTATTATTGTCACGTCCATTGTGTGCGTGCGAGTTGATCGTCTCGAAAAAAAAAAAAAGAAACTTAATTCCTCGAAATTGTCGCGGTGTGCGGGTATCGCACGATTCTAAGTATCGATATCGGAAATTCCTGGCAAAAATTGCGGCTATCGAAGGAGGCGTGGTGCGGGACTGTCGCCCGGCCTTCCTTATTGCCTTGAGACCGAGAAGATAATTAATTATCACGCTGTTGAAGGTATCGGGGGTGTGGTACGACATTGTCGCATTGCTCCGATTGCCCGAAAAAGTTAAGTTGCGAGCGTCGCAGAAAAAGGCGGAAAAATCTCCGACCGCCGCCGGCTATCGAACTTCGCCGGTATCGTCCGCCAATCGTATGCGAGATCTCTCCTCGCGAAACTAATATCTTTTCGCTTATTGCGTAAGTAATCAGCTGTCTTATTTCTGGGTTGTCGACTTCGAGTACGCTCGGAGGAAATTGCGAGATACGCAGTTAATTAGTAAGATCTCCGCGAGGCTGTCGAAGCTGCGAATGATAGGCAGGTACTAGCGCTCTCTCTCTCGATCGCGTATGGTACGACCGTTAGCGAGAATTCGAATTACCAACATTCCGTTATAGAAATTATTGTTCTCAGGAGCTTCGACTTTAGGAAGCCTCCGCCATAGACGCTCTTCGTTAGACCGACTTAGAATATCGCGCGTTTTTCTAGCGTTTCGAGATTTATTGTCAGTTCGTGGCTAGTACATTATTTCTGTTTCCCTTCTGTATCGAGTTTTATTTCTTTTCTGTTAATACCTTCTTACTCTCTTAATAAATCTGTTATTATTTTTTTATTATTAAATCTCGCGTTCTTTATTTGGCTGGCGATCGTCCGTAATTTCTGTGTCCGTCTTTGTCTGTCAATTTAGTAAGCTCGCTCAATCAATTAACTTTTTCTTTCAAACCCCGCCCCCCTACCGTTAGGCGAGCTAGCCAGCCCGTGGCGAAGCGGGCTGTCGTATTCTTTCGCGCTTTTCGAAAAATTCGTGAAAACTGGTATGTGAAAGACCGTGCCTGGCGCCCATTTCCGAGGTATCGAGACGGCCTTCGCTCCGCCGCGGCTCGCGCGCGGACACCCTCCATCCCTGTCCCGCCGAGCGCGAGTACCCCAAAACCCTTGTGTTTTTGACGGCGCTTCCGCTCCCCCGCGAGAATAAAAATTAGAATTGAAAAAGCGTCGCAGTCTATAAGGATACATATATAGTATTATAAAAAAACATCTTTGTGATAAGACAATTTTATTTTTCAACTGTATACATATATCTATAATATAATACTTAGAATGTATATTTCATACATAAACTTAAAACTTCAATTAAAATAAAAAAAATGAACATCTTTTATCACAGAAATCTTTGGCAAGACAATCTTTGAACTGAATACATCTGTATTTAGAATCTATACTAGGAAAATTCTAACTATATTGAAAATGTACAATATAGAATACGAACTTACATTATATGACTTCCCAGACAGCACAAAAAGGCCAAAAGATGTCTTAAAGATGTCCAAAGGACTTTAAGACATCTTTAAGTCGTCTTTTAGATGTCTTTTGGACATGTGTGCTATCTGGGTTGTTTAAATGTAGCTTAGTTAATGTAAATAAAATAAACTGTAAATAAAATAAACTGTGTAAATAAAATAAAAAAAATAAAAGCGAATACGAATCAATATTTATATTATATTATATGGATCAATATTTTCCCTATCTTTGGACGAACATTGCATAATCCCGAGTTTCGCTTTACTGGTTTGTATTTCTATCGTTTGTATTTCTTTTAAATGTTGTAACTGCATACAGTTCATTTCTCTCAAATGTTCTTCTTTCATTTTACATATTTTTTCTTCATGTGTTCGTTTCATGCATGCTAATTCAGCTTCTTGATTCATTATTTGTTGTATGCGTTCTATCTTTAATTTTTCTTCTGTGTCTATAAATTCTATTGTGTTTCTGTTCTTTCGTTTCATATTATTGTCAACTTTTCTTTTTGATGACTCTTCTGATAAATCACATAAAGTCATACATTCTTTCTTACTTATTTTGTCAGAAACAGTTGTGTCTACAAAAAAAATACTTTTAGTATACGTTACATATAAATATTATTGCACATTAATATGCAAATATATTATATAAATACCTTGCAAAGTACTAATTTCTATATTTATAGAAGATTTATCAATTTTGTCTCCTATATTCGTAGAAGACTCATCATTTTCGTCTTCTATAATTATAGGAAAATCATCAAGATTTAACGTTTCTATATTATCAGTAGATATGGCATCAAATGCAGCTCTACGCTTATCTGAAATGTGTAGGAAAAAAATTTGTTTATGGTAGACAAAGTTGAAAAAATAGAATTATATTTTTAATATCTTCTGTGCTAATTTAAAAGATTACTTTCATACATACTCTTAATTTCTGTCTCAGTCATATTGGATGAAAAGGCAGCTGGAGCAGTCTTCATGAGGTCAGGCGCAATATTAAGAATATCAGGGTCGATAGTTGCTTCTGTCTCTTCTGGTCCTCCACCAGTTGCCATATGGAATTGTCTCTCTTTTGTCAATGCTTCTCTTTGGCTTTGTTTTAGATTTGTCCATAATTTTTTCAATTGTTGGACTGTTCTCTATTAAAATATTTTACATTATTATGATATATGTCGATGCACTATTATCGTAGTTCTTACCTCTTCACAAATTAAAGTTGACTGATTGTATTTATTAGAAATTTCACTCCAGGCACATTCTTTGTCTTTCAATGTTGCACCGTCACTTTTCTTTATTTCTACTATATGTTTATATTCTTCTAGGATTTGCAGAAACACTTTTCTTCATGTTTGTATAGTGTTTACTTTTACTTTTAGGTGCTTTTTCTTTACATGACATTCTGTAAACAAAATAATAATTTAATTACAAAAAACTTAAAATATATAATTTTTATGTAAATAGACCTTTTACTTACATTGCTAAAATAAGAATGTTCTTCTCTGTTTAAAAAAGTTATGCACACAATTTTCTCTTTTGATTAAAATTATATATGATTAAAGTATGTCGATATATATTATTATCTTCGATTCAATTTGCATATGATTAGAGGTTATGAATATCTTTTAATCATATAAACTAGATAGCATAACACTTCCTAAAATTGAATTCCAAATGCAATGTTTTAATTGGTGAATCCAACGGAAATATTACAGAAACACCCGATTTATAAATAAGCATTGCCTTAAGTACATCTTTATAAACGCGATCGTATATCACATAAGAAATACTTAAATAAAAATTTCTCAATTAAGATTATCTTATATCGCGACTATGAATTATATCGTTCTTAAGATGATTTTCATTGAATAAGTCAATCTTCACCAAGACGGTCTTGGGTATTACCTTGAGCTTCGACTATGAATACCGGCCTAAGAAAAAGAAGCAAGGGAACAGTGATTGTGGGTTGTGAAGCTGGAAAGGAGGTGAAAAAACTAAAAGAGACAGTTCAAGCTAAGCTGGGAGAAAATTACAAAGTGATGGAGTCGCCTCAATCGAAACCAAAGATAAAAATTATTAACATAGGTTTAGAAGAGATGAACTTAGATGATAGTGAACTTATAAGTACGATAAAGATACAGAATAAAATAGATACAATAAATATGCGAATTGTGAAGAGAATAGTCAAAGAAAAGAGAAATAGCCAATCTGAAAGAAAAGGAAATGAAGAAGGATCAATAATAATGGAAGCAGATGAAGAGACGCACGGGCTGATATTGAAGAAAACAAAATTAAATGTAGAATGGAAGAAATGTCCTGTATTTGATCACATCAACGTTAAAAGATGCTTTAAATACTGGGGATATTATCATATCGCAAAAAACTGTACGCGAGAGGAAACATGCCATAAATGCGCAGGAAGTCATAACTCGCGTGATTGTACAGCGACAAAGAAGAAATGTGTGAATTGTGTGTTCAAAAATCGAACATACAATCTGAAGATAAATGACGACCATGACGCCCTTAGTCCGGAGTGTCCGACTTTTAAGAGGGCGCTACAGGAGGAGAAGAGGAGAGCAGGCTAGGAGGACGCTAAATAGCAATCACAGGAAGAAGCGGAGCTAATATATATATATACTATATACAAATGCGCAAAGCTTAATGGCACACAAAGATGAGATACAACATCAGATTATGAAAATAAATCCTATGTTCTTAGCATTATCGGAAACCAGATTGATTGATGATATCGAAGACAGTGAAGTGAACGTCCCGAGTTATAGTACAGTTAGATGTAATGCTGAGAATAGAAATACGAGAGGAGTTGTTCTATATGTAAGGAGCGAAATTAAATACGAGAAAGTATTAGCAAAAAAATTAGAATCGAATTGTTGGTGTGCTGCGATAGAAGTGAAAGATAAAGTATGTAAAGGAGTGATAATGATAATATATCACTCACCGAGTGCATCGCACGAGGATTTCATGAGATTCTTTGAGGAAATAGTGGAAGAGTTGGTAGTAAAGGGAGAATGCATAGTTATAGGAGATTTTAATATAGATCTTATGATGGATTCATTTTATGCGAAGAAATTGCAAGCAACAATGTTAAGCTTGGGTATGAAACAGTATGTTAACGAACCGACGAGAATTACGAAAGACAGTCAGACAATTATAGATTTAATCTTCGCTAATAATGATAAAATAGTACAAGTAATTCATGAAATAACGGATTACGCGTGGCTGAAAGTTGAGATGAATGTCAGCAAAATTGAAAGTAAATATAGAGAATTTATTGCTAGAAATTATAAAGAGTTTGATGTATTGTAATGTAATAAATGAATTTGCCATATTAGTGAAAAATAAACTGCAGAAAAATCAGGGATGTCAATGTGAATGTATGGATGTCAGTGAGAGAGCGAAACAACTTATCGATAGTATAGTGGATGCGTTAGATGTAATGGCACCGAAGAAAAAATATAGAATTCCGAAAGTATGGGAAGGGAAAAAGTGGTTTTCAGATGACATAAGAGAGGCTGCGGATAGAAGAGATAAGGCTTATAGAAGAGCATTGTATGATGATATTGAACAAAATTGGTTGCAGTATAAAATTGAAAGAAATAAAATAATAAAATTAATCAAGGAGAAGAAGAAAGATTACTATGAAAATATGATAGATCTTAATAAAAAAACCCTACATCTATGTGGAAAACATTGAAGGAAATAATTAGGGGTGAACCAGTAGGTATAAAAGAAGTAGGAAATATAGATTTTGAAATCTTAGGCGACACCGAAGAGTGTAATATAGCTGATAAATTTAATTTATATTATATACAAAGTATTAATAACATAGTAAACTCTATAAAGATCGATAAATCCGGTAGTGATATAATTGATCATTGGATGAATGTAAATAAGAAAATTATTTATATTATCAAAAACAAAAGAATTATGGAAAACTTTGAGACCGTTAAACTAGAACAGCTAGAAAAAGTTGTTATGGGATTGCCAAAAAAGAAAGGTACGGAAGAAGGGATAACCAGCGATATATTGAAGGCAGTTTTTTCGGTAATAAAAGAGGAATTTGCGAATATAATAAATAATTCTTTAAGAGAAGGTTTGTGTCCGGAAGGATGGAAAACCTCGACGATAATACCAATCCCAAAGATAGATAAAGCGGAAAAAGCGAGTGATATAGGCCTATTAATATGTTACCAATATTTGAGAAAGTGTTAGAATTAGTAGTTAAAGAACAACTTGAAATGTACTTGGAAATTAACGATATTATAACAGAACATCAGTCGGGGGTTAGAAAATACTATTCGTGCGAAACAGCGATACAAACTGATGAATGGAAATTGATAGTAAGTGATAGAAAAATGGTAGGAGTAATTTTTATGGACCTTAAGAGAGCGTTTGAAACAATGGATAGAGAAAGATTATTAGAAAAAATGTACTATTATGGAATTGGAGGAATGGCTTTGGAATGGTTCAAATCATATTTAAATAATAGGAAACAGCAAGTGCGAGTCAATCATGCGTGGTCTGAAATATTGACAACAGAGTACGGAATGCCACAAGGTTCGGTACTAGGACCTTTACTATTTATAATATATATAAATGTTATAATCGAAGTCTGTCCAGAAGGGTGTAATATTAAAATGTTTGCAGACGACACGCTTATATATGTAAATGGAGAAAGTAGCGCGGATATAGAGGTAAAATTGAATACGGTTTTTAATATAATTGAACGTTGGATGAATATAAATAAGTTAAAAATGAATGCTAGTAAAACGAAATATATGATAGTTAGAAGTACTCGAAAAGAGTTGAAAGGTAATACGGTTTTGAAATGTCTGGATGGAATTGAAATAGAACGAGTGAAAAATATGAAACATCTATGTATAATTATTGATGACAGACTTCGATTTCAAGATCACTGCGATTATATGCTAAAGAAAATAGGTAAAAAAACAAGTTTCTTAAATAGAATAGGTAATTATATATCAGCCTATACTAAATGCATTATATATAAGACAATCATAGCTCCTCATTTTGAGTATTGCGCGACGCTATTAATAGGCATGGGGGAGACACAGATAACCCAATTGCAGAAGGTACAAAACAGAGCTATGAGGGTAATACTTCAATGTGATAGATACACCAAAGTGGATGACATGCTAGAAGCGTTGCAATTTATGTCAGTAAGACAAAGATTGCAATATAATATATGTATATTTATTTTTAAGATATTAAATGGTTTGCTGCCAACTCAATCAAGGAATAGGTTGCAGATAGTAGAGAAGGAATGTGATAGGGAAATAAGACAAGCGGGTAATATTGAACTGCAGTTTAGGAAAACAAAGTCCGCGCAAAAAAGTTTGTTTTATGAAGGCATAAAAATATATAACGTCCTGCCAGAGGAAGTTAAAAATTGCGATAGGCTAAAATTGTTCAAGAGTAGGCTTAAGGCGCATATTTTCGCAACGTAAAATATGTAAGTTTAAATGTATATGAAAATAGCTGAGAAAGCTAATAAAAGTTCATCAATCAATCAATCAATCAATCAATCAATCTCTCTCTCTCTCTCTCTCTCTCTCTCTCTCTCTCCCCTCTCTCTCCCTCTCTCTCTCTCCCTCCCTCCCTCTCTCCCCTCTCCCCCCTCTCTCTCCCCCCTCTCTCTCTACTTGATGCAAAAAGATAAGTCATTTCCAAGCTCTGGCCTCCAGATATAATTAAGCAGTAGCTCGCGATAGATTCTTATCACTGGAGACAATTATCAAAGGCACTGACCTAACTCGCATTGGTAGTGTTCAGCAGGAAAAGCTGCTTTACAACTGTTGTAAAATTCATGAATCCGATTGGCGTATGCTCTTAGATCCAGTCAAAATTAAGAGCATAGACCAATTAAATTCACGAATTTTACAACAGTTACAAAGATATTAATATAAATGTTATATTAATATAAATACATATAAATATTAATCCAGTTATGAGAAATCATAATGCATCTTCATAAGAAAATGTATGAAAAATAGAACTAATAGATTAAAATAAATAATAATAATAATAATAATATTATTATTATTATTATTATTATTATTATTAATATTATTAATGTTGTTATTATTATTATTATTATTATTATTAATATTATTATTATTACTATTATTATTATTATTATTATTATTACTATTATTATTATTATTATTAATATTATTATTATTATTATTAAGATTTTTGCGAATTTTTTGGTGCACAAAATATATATGTTAAGAATCATTTCGTAAGGAAATAACAAGGTAATTTTAATAAACGAACGTATAATTCATTTATATTAATACGTATGATTCAATTTACACGTGTTGTATGTATTTTACATAATACTTATTTTCCACATAAAGACATTTTATGATGATTGATAAAGATTTATAGCTGTTTATTAATTCATGAATGGAAAACAGTTTTCTGCACCAACATTTATTTTTAAACATGAAAGTTAATATCCAAATAAAAACTAATTTATTTTAACGTATATATAATGCAAGAGAAATATTCATACAAAATGATTATAATGAAATAAAGGTCCGTTAGATAAAATCAATAAAAATTAGTTAAAAGGCTTCAAGGACCAACGCAATAGTGAAATGTATGCAAAAATAGAACGGTTATTTCAATTTAATAAACCATATGAAAATATTTATTTAATTTAAACACGACAAATGCTGCGTTTCAATCCAATTCGGATCCTTTTCAATGTTGAATAACAAAGTGAGTAATAAACATAAAAATAAAAATAAAATTAACAGTCATTGATAAAATGTAAATAAGTTTCGGAAAAAACGCAAACCAAAATAAATGGTAATTACAAAGTCAAAAAAGTCGGAAGCAAAAATGCGCAAAGTAACGGATGATTCAAACAATCAATTATTATAGAAAAGAGCGCAACGCATTAACGGTAATAATCGGAGTATCAGTAATAATCGCAACGGAAAACTGAATGCAAACTCACACCCCATATCCTCAGTGTACCACAAAGAACGTGCTGCTCACCTCGAAAGCAGAAACCGAAAGGAAATCCCACACGCAAGTTCATTTCCAATTTAAAAAAGAAAAGCAGTCAAAGATGCATAAATCGATGACGAGTTGGAAACTTAATGGTCCTTAATGTGTGTAATGAAAGATGACACTCTAAAAAAGAAAAAAGAAAAAATAGACGGAGATATATATAATTTAACAACAATCCGGAAATTAAAACTAACAATAAGAAAATCTTTCGATTAATAAATAATGTAAAACTAAAGTTAATCTAATAAAAATTACATACCGGTCTCTAAATTGAAAGTAATCTCAAATTAAAAAATCACACGAAGAGAGAGCAAGTTAAGCACAACTTAACGTTCCAATCAATAGCCGCCGAATTGAGGTGTATGAAAACGTATAGATGAGTAACGTGAAGCGTCAAAAGAGGGAAACGTCACAGAAGGAAAGAAGACAGAACAAAAGACAAAAAGAAATTTTTCAAAAAAATCAATGCTAAAACTTCTTTATAATAGGCAAATACAACTTATCTAAGAATTCGGTATCA